TGACGCTATCACCAGCCTCGGCGAGGTAGCCGCAATCTTCTCCATAGCTCCGTCTAACCAGCTCATCTCAGAGCCTTTATCAGAGGAGCCGAACTCTTCCGGCGAGGGGAGGTTCTTGCATGACCGGAGCTTTGCCCTTTGATTTTTCCGAGCTTTTGCCGAAGATTTCGAGCCGGAGGTCTTCTTAGCCTTCCCCCTTTTCCGGTTAGCCATGGCTTTTTCCGGGAAAGCGGGGCCGCGAAAACAGAGCTCTCTTGTTAATTAATGCTTGCTTTCGCTTTGGCCGGTTGAATTCAAATCAATTTCTAATCATGAGACTTAAAGGCTAAGTGGCGTACCAAAAAGCTAAAATGGATAAAAATGGTCCACAAAATTAATTTATGGGACCCACAAAATCTGACGCAGGCAGAAGCAGAAATATCGAGTGACGACAGCTCATATCGCGCCGCATTAGTTCTATCGTATCGCGATCCCGATAGAAGCATCACGTCGCGATAAATTCGTCAGTTCGCGAATTTAAACTCTTCTTCTTCCTCATTTCGCTAGGGCTGTTCATTTTCACTCGTCTTTGCTCGAAACTTCAAAGCTTTCATTCTTACTCGTTTCTTAACCAAAATTCGCTCAAACTTGTTGCAAATCGACGCATTTCTACTCTAGTTTGCCGATCTATGTAAGATTTTCTCAGGTGAATTTCGTGCATGTATGCGGCATTTTATACGAAACCCAAAAACGAGTTTATGCTTTTTACTCAATTTTCATTCATTCTTTTGCCATGAAATTGCTTGTATGTGCACATTTTTTTTTGAGTAATTTGAGACTAGAATTGCTTAATTTGGTGAAGAAACGAGCATTTTACCATTGTTGAGCACTCTAGGTTCGTGAGTACAATGTGGCTTGTTCTTCATGATTTTGCTTGCTGTTTGTGCTTAATTTGTTGCAATACTTATTGTAAATTTTCAAGAAATTGTTTTGGTGCTTAAATTTTTGTTACTGTGCGAATCGAAATTATGCTCTGTTTGTGTATTTTGTACTTTGTTTTTTACGAACATAGTATCATGCTGCTAGGCAAACTTAGACACTATAAAACCTTTAATTTACCATTTTTATGTCAACAATGAATAGCATGACTCGACGCCGAGGTTCGGGCTCACGTTCTAGCTTGTCTCACCGAGAAGACGAGCTCGTAGGCGAGGGTGGGGGCGCTTCTATCAGCCGGGGGTAGTCACTCCCTGAGTGGGATGAGCACATCCTAGCTTTTCAGCCAATCTACCACATTTCCCAGCGCGTTCGGCTGGGATTCACTAAGGAGCACGTTCATTGCCATGGCTCGGGAAACGATACGATTCTGTCCATCTATCGTCACCACATTAAAGGCAATGGGGCGATGAGAGCTCTTTGGGAGTCCTGCGGATTGACTCCCCTCCTTTGTATTTCCACGGCTCTACATCCCTGGCGAGAGAGTCGTCGCATTGTTTAAGGTGTTTTGGAGCTCTTCTGGGACACGACGATCACTTTTCACTTTCCATGGGGTAAGATTATCATCACCCTTCTCGACTTCTTTATTATCACCGGCCTCGAGTTTCGGCCTGCCCGACTTCCTGATCAACTCGACAAACATAGGCAAAAGACAACGTCCCAGTGAAACCAGATAGGATACCTTTCCTAACATACCAGCTCGGCGCAAAAACAAGTTGAATTGCGTTCGAGTAAAATGGGGAAGGACTCTTCCTCCCACACACCAACTTGGCGAAAAAAAAAAATAAAAAAATAAAAAAAAAGGAGAACGGATTCTCAGTTCCTCCTTAGCCTGGTCGTGTTGCTGTTGGCGGAGTTTGTACCGCGCTAAGTCCAGGTCGGACATGTTAACCTCCCTCTTCTACTCTAGATCCAGCATTCCGAGAGCTACGTATGAGGAAGAAAAAAGAGGAAAAAATGTTAGAATATTTCTATATTCCAAATAGCAGTCGAACGGCTAAGTGACAAGGTTCCACCTTGAGAGTAGTTCTGGTATAGGCCACAGGCCGACATGAAAACTGGGTTCCTAAGCCACACGGCCAGAGGAATCTAATTGCGCAGCACGGTTACCGTATTTCCATCCCTAACTACCTTTCTGACTCCAAAGTAGTCCAGTTGGTGCATATAGTCAAGGTGGACGGGCGGGCTTGCTAGGTCTATGCTGCCCACGACCGAGCTGAATTGGATCGGCATTGAACCGATTCATCCGCAAGTTAAACTGCTCATCCTTTGTCTTAATGTGGTAGAATCTGCGCTTCCAGTCTCGCCACTTGGACGGCCTATCCATCACCACCATATAATCTCTCTGGGTGCTCAGAATAAACCACCCATCCGTGCCAACATCCAGGGGGACCATGGAATGCATTTCACAAAAAACTAAGACGTCCGACTTGAAGCCTTATCAAAGGCACGTCACCAGATAGCCAAAAATAGTTAATTAGCTGGAAGATTGCAATGTTGTATTCGTCTAGGAGCTCCTGGACGAACGGATGAAAAGGGAAGCGAAGGCCCACTTCCAAAGCAGCGCGGTAGATGCTGAAGAATTCTTCCACTGCTGCTTGCTCTCCCAGACGGCCACCGAGTAAGAGCGAGTGGGCGCTACTATTTCGTAGCCTTCTCCCAGGTGGAGGAACTTCTTGAACTCCTTAAACTTCAAGTGTAAGAAGGACAAGGCAGTGTCGCCAATCGTAAAGGCATACGGGTCCTTGAGTTATCAGCATTTGGTTCTTCGGTCACCTGATCGGCGTCCAAGTTCTCAGCCTCTTCTTCAGCAACTTGAGGAGCATCCCCAAATTCAAAGGACAACATTGTGTCCAGCTCAACAGCTTCGGCCGAGCTACCTTCCCTGGAGCCCTAGCCGCCTCTAGAAAAAACGATGCCTTCAGGCACCAAGGGCTTCTTGCCCTTATCTTTCTTTCCCCCAGCGTCCGCCTGGTTTCCAGAAGGAGGAGCGCTACAAGGGGGCAGGTCGAGCGGTTCAGCAATACGGATGCAAATTCTAGGCCTGGCCGACCTAGTAGTTTGGATTAGGGGTCGTTGAGGATTTTGGACGGACGCCCCAGCGTCCGCCTGAAAAGAGGAAGATGCCTTCCAGAAGATGGCATCTCGGACGGCATCATGACCGAGCTGGCGAATTAAGGGAAGCGTAGTTCCGGAATTTGCCCGGACGCATCCATGGTAGAAGAAGTGCCTGGCTGATGTTGGCGCTCTTCAAGGGACGTGGTCACTTCGACTGCAGAGCATTCACTACCTGACAGAAGGGTTTGCTGTCATTGCAGAAATTCCATTTTCCCCGTCCCTAACAGCGGTTGTATTTGTGGTCTCCCCGTCCGTATTACTCGGATTATAAGGGACTAAGGGGTCCACCATACTCCCATCAGGGTTTCTGGGGATGTCTCATTCGTACGTTTGCCTCGTACGCGCCATGTTCGACTGCAGGGACAGAGAAGAATAGGTGGGGGTGAGTTGGTACGCACTAGAAATGAACCCACTCCATAGTGTGGAGGACTCTTCCCCGTCCACTCTAGACTCCACAGTCCCAGGCGAACGACCGACCTCATGAGGAGAAATGGACGAAGCTGAGTGTTGAGCTAGTTCGTATTATAAGAACAAAACAAGTAAAAGAAAAAGGGAAGAAGTAAAGAAGAGCAGGTGGTTACCTCCGTACATGTCGTGAAAGTCTATGAAAGTCTTGAAGGTTGACCGTAAAACTCAAAAATCTGACCGGAAACCTCAAACGCACGGCTGAGCTCTCAAAGATTTGAAGGAAAACTACTTTCTCTCTCTGAAAGGCTCTGACTTCTCTCTAAAATTCTCAAATTTCCAAAGTGCCAAAATGAAGTCAAACACCTTCTATTTATAGGCCGAATTTATGAGGGCAAAATGGTAAAACCATCTTTCCCGCCCAAGAATTCGAACGGTAACTTTTCGAAAAAGTTTAAACGGTTAAAAAACCGCTCCATCATCTAAGACGGGAAGAGATACGGACACTCTAACGACACTTCAAAATAGACGGCCAGATCAACGGAACTCAAACCGGCACTCCGAAAAATACGAATGACAGGTGTTCCCTCTCAAGCCACTCGGAACAACCCGTCCACCCGATTTTAAGACTTAAAAGTCCTCCAAGGAAATCAGGCAGACCAAACAAGGCGTCCAGCCCAAAGGAGAGATAACTCTAATAGACGGATGTAACCGTCCGCCCTCTATAAATGATGAATGCTAAAAAAGCCTAAGTACTTGGACGTATCCGGACATGTAGAAGATCAGAGGAGCGGCATGTCTGGTACGAGTCACCACCTTTGAGAGGCAAATGTTTAAGGTAAAAAACCCTAACACGTAGTCCAATCCCATAGTGACACGTGGCCTAATCAAAGGGCGACACGTGTCCCTATAGGAAAATGACACGTGTCAAAAAACATAAAGATCACCTGAAATGAGAGCAAAGGGCCTCCTTACATCAGGAGGCCCAAATCCCGAGAAAGCCGCAAAACGGCACCCCTATTTGGACATGTGCCTTCTCCTGATTGCGCCGCCAATCAAAGCACGGAATTCTAGGGAACTAACCCTAAAGGGGCACACTTTCCCACCTCTATAAATACCCCAATCATTTATGATGGGAGGGGTGGAAGAAAGACATCATTCTAAGAGCATTGAAAGCTCCAACTTGTCTCTACTTTCTCTCTCTACATTTATTTCGCTTTCCGATCACTAACTTGATCGTCGAAGGCGAATATTCCGTATATCGGAATATTCGTTATTTTGCAGGCGTCGAAGACCGTCCGGCTATATTCACGACCAGTATCCCGAGGGATTCCAAAAAACCCCAAAACACAGTACATCCTCCGTTTACGCTCCTTTTGGATCTCCACAAACTTTGCATCTGTGTGTAAATTTTTGAAGATCTCCTCAATCCTAAAATTAGTGACTAATCCACGAAGGTAAACGGCCGAATTAGCATCTGCCAACCTTTTCGACTGGATACATTATTCCATTGCAGCAACATAGTTCTCCGCAAAATCACAGAGTCCTGTGTTTTTATCAAAAAATTCATCAAAAAAATTGTGAATGCTTACTGACCTCTAGGTCGTCCTCATTCCAGGCCAAAATAAATGTTTCATTGCAGCTAGAATCCACATTTCTCTCTCTGAATACAAACCAGCTAGCCACAGGTTGCTCTCAAGTTTATACTTCACTATAAACTCCTTCCACCTCAATTCAAACTCCTCTAAAAATAAACTATCATAAATAATATTTTTTAGCTCATTCTTGAACTCAACATACCCTTTATACTTGCCTAGCTTGCTCCCAAATTTCTTTTTGATGTACCACAAACACCATCTATATCTTGTTTGTGGCATCACTGCTTTCAAAGCTTTGCGCATAGCGGGATCTTGATCCGTCAAGATAGCAGCGGAAGGTTTACCACCAACAACATCTAGCCAAGTGGAGAACAACCACCTATTAACATACATATATAATTTAATAACTACTATAAATAAATAAAATGCAAAAACTGTCATGCATAACATCTGGAAAAAAAAACATAATAGAGAGGTATATAAAGCATGAAAAAATACATACGTAAAGGTTTCAGTGTCCTCATGGGATATGAGAGCGCATCCAAGTAATATTGTTTGGCCATGGTGGTTTACCCCAACAATATTTGCAAAGGGAAAATCATACTTATTCATAAAAAAAGTCGTATCAAAACACACTACATCACCGAAATCCTCATATGCAGCTCTGCTACGCGCATCCACCCAAAATACATCTTGCAATACCCCATTGGCATCCAACCGATGTATATGGTATAAATTCTTATTGTTCTTTTGCATCATTTGGAAATAATTAATCATGGCATTGTTGTCCCCATCCTTCAATTTCAGCTTATTCTCCCTTGATATCAAATTATTCACATCCTTCTTAGTAAAGGGCATATTCTCAACCCCATTCCTCTCACTAGCCAACCACTTGTGCATTGTAGCAGCAAGCATCCCCACATATCGCATCTTTTCCAACTCCTCCAACCTATAATTTGTCACCAACATTGATTTTGAAGGTGATACCTTATTGGGTTCATGCTTCAACTCCACTATTACTACCTCCCACTTACCATGTTCTTTTAAACCTGCATACATCCCAGCTTTGCAACCACATTTTTTTGACTTCTTTGTTGCAATCGGCTTCCCTTCCAACTCCCTAAGTAATCTTATTCCACCAATCCTTCTTCAGGTGTCTGGCAAACCTACACACTCACATTTTCATATAACAGCGCGTTTAACCTTGCGACCATCTTTTAGAGTTTAGTATGCACTCTGGACAAGAACCACACCAAGCCCCTTCATGCTTGCCAAAAGCATTATAGTACATATCAACTTCTTCCTGTGTATCAAAAATCATTCCCACTTCAGGAGGGTCTATTTTAACTATGTTTAGATTCACCATATTACCTCCATCCCCATCCCCCTCTCCACCTTCATATGGACATAATTCACCAATATCACGAGCCCCTTCCCCTTCCTTAAAGTTTATCAAATCCATTATACCACCTTCCTCATTATGATACAATGATACACAAATATCTTCTGCAACCTCTGAACTTACCATCACTGCCTCAACCTTAAATAATCTTTTTTTTTCCACATCATTTAAAAACATGTTATGCAATTTCACATCATTTAACATCATGCAATTTCACATCCTTAACAGTTAATCTTTAACAATTAATCTATCACATGCATAACAAGCCATGTATGTATAAAAACAACCCATATGCATCACAATCCATAATTCCACTAACATTAAAGTCCTCCAACTTTAATTTCCAATTTTAATGGCATTTGTATGTCTTATATTGTCATTTTAAATAAAATATAAATTGCAAAAATTTATGCCAATTAGCTAACCTATGATGTCAGGTAACCTATATTGTCATTTGTTATAAATAATATTGCCATTTGTGTCACTTGCTAATCTAATAAATGTTACAAATCCAAAATAACAATTGTAATTCATTACTTTCAACCAAACACCAATTCCAAATATGCACAAATCCAAGAATCAAATTTAATCCCCAACTATAGAGAGTCAGTGAACTTACCTAATTCCCGCCAATTTAGTTTTAGCCTCAGTCACTCTCAAACAGCTCCATTGCTTAAAAGTCGAAAGACCCAGTCTTCGTTGCTCCACCACAATATCTCAAATCCTCTCACAATTGACGTGCTTTTAACCCAGTTATCCAATTTAGACCTTCACCTTTACTCCCAAAAACCCTTCATTATTGAAACAGCAACTTAGGAGACAATAAGATGGGGGGCTCAAGAAGATGGGAATTGAACGGGAAAGAAAAACCAACAAAGATGGGGTAGCGCAGCTCAAGAAGATGGAGATTGAACGAAGAACCCTAGATTCTCATCTCTATCTCTGGATCAATTAAATCAACCACATTTGCAAAATAATGGACCAACAAATTCTAACGATCTTGGGAATCGCGCAACGATGTATAAATTTGGAGGATACAAGTTCATACGTACAAAATACACACCAATACAAGATAGGGGCCTGCCAAGAGCATTTAATATTCAAATAAATATTGTGCTGGTCCAGTACCTTGCAGGGCTAAGCGCTCCTCATATCTCTATGTAATCCTTTGTGGTGTCCCTTTAAAATACTGCTTAGACCCTTACTTTCTTTTCCGAAAATATATAACAACTCAACTAATTATACCCTTAATGTTTTGAAAAGGAAGGAAGGGGGAAAAAAAATCCAAACTAAATAGTGTCCCTATTGACTTTTTGATTAAAATTTAAAAAGGATATCAGAATCAAATAAATGAATAATCATGCATTACAAAACAGATTTTGTGCAAGTTATAGAAAATATCACCTAACAATTAACTACTAAATTTGAATGGAAAATAGAATAAGTAAAAAAAGTTAAAATTAAAATTAATTTTGACTAAAACTAATTACACTACACGTATAAAGCTATTGTTGCAAATTTAGCATATATGTATGGTATAAATGAGCCGATTCGAGCATTACCTTAGTCATGCTCAACTTCATTTAACTTAGGCGAGTCTGAGCACGATTCCGGGCTTTCAAGAAAGCTCAAAATAAATATGTTCAAGCTCGATTCATTTAGTACACTATAATACGTGTTCGCGAACGCTTCATCAATGGGTTGTTTATTAAACGAATTTATAATAAATGAGCATTTTTCTCATGAACTAGCTTAATTATAAACGAGCTTTTCTAATAAATGAATTTAGGCCCTATTCTTTTGAGTTGTTCCACTCTACTCTGCTTAAAAATAATAATTAATATTTAACAATAATAATTAATATTTAATAATAATAATTAATATTTAATAATAATAATAATAATATTTAATATTTAATAATAATAATAATAAATATTAAATTAATAATAATAATTAATATTAATAATAATAATAATAATTAATATCTAATAATAATAATAATAATTAATATTTAATAATCATAATAGTTAATTTAATAATAATTATAATATTCAATAGTAATATAAAAATAATAATGCCATAATAATAATAATAATATTCTATTGTAATTTATAATTAAGTCATAAGCGAAAATATGAATTTGATCAATCAATTGTTATGAAACCAAAAATAAGTATCAATCATCTAGTATATGAAATCAATTCACTCCTTATCTTAATCACTCAAAACACAATTTCTCTCTGTCTCTTTGTCTCTCAATTGTATGATCGTATTACACTTACTTTGTAGATATTTTCCATTCTTATTGGTTGTAATTGATTGGCTTCTAACTATATAATTAAAAAAAGGAAAAATTCACTGTAATAATCCCACCTTTGGGGCATTCAAAATTAATAATCCCACCTTTCGATTATTATTTAATAACCCGACCTTTGGGTGCCTTTAATTTTTATTGGTCCCATTTGACCAGAAACCGGTTAAGTAGGTAAATTTTTTTTTTAAGTTTAATTTACACGTGTCACAATTTGATTTGTCCAAAATTAAAAAAAAAAATCAGAAAAAAAAAAAAAAGTTTCACCTTCTCTCATCCTCCTCCTCCATATCAATGGCAGTGAACCACCATCACCCATTCAACCACCACCACCCCAAGACCCTAATGCCCGCAACTACCACAAAACCCACCCAAGCCACCACAAAACCCACCTAAGAAACCCGAAACTCAACCAAGCCACCACGAAACCACCCCCTTCCCTTCCCCAGTCACTACAAAACCCACCATAATTCCCGCAGCCACCATGAAACCCATCCAAGCATCCCCAAACCTACCCCCTTCCTTTTCCCAGACCCCGATAAATATCCCCCTCGGAATCCGGCACCCCGATTTACTATTACAGGTGGTTTTCGGGTGTTTTGAGTGGGGTAGAAAGGTGGTAAAGAAGCGGTGGTTGGGGTTGAGTAGAGGGGTGGTTGAGTTTCGGGTGGAGGTGAAGAATGAGGGTGGGTGGTCGTGGTTGGGGTGGCTAGGGAAGTTGGGAAGGGCAACAGGGTGGTTGGGGAAGGGCGGCGAAGGTGGCTAAGGTGGCTGGGAGTATGTCGGAATTCATGGAGGTGAGAAAGAGGGTGGTTGGGGAAGAGCGGCGAAGGTGGCTGGGGTGGCTGGGTGGTTGAGTTTTTTTTTTTAATTTTTATAATTTGTTTATTTAATATAATTATAGTTAATTAAATTTAATATTATTTAAAAAAAATTAATAAATTATTTTTAAAAAAAATTGGGTTTTTTTATTGACCAATCATGGGCCGCTACGTGTCATGTAACATGTTATAACAGGTTACATGACCGGTTGGGACCAATAAAAATTAAAGGCACCCAAAGGTCGGATTATTAAATAATAATCAAAAGGTGAGATTATTAATTTTGAATGGCCCAAAGGTGGGATTATTAATTTTGAATGGCCCAAAGATGAGATTATTCCAGTGATTTTTTCCTTAAAAAAATTCACTTACTTTCATAATTACGATCTTACGATTATCATGCATTTGATAGCTCTATAAGTACGTAGTATTTTATTACTGTACATTTTTTTGTTTTCCATTCTTAACATCAAATATTTGTAGTTATATTTTTTTGAAGTAATTGATCAAAATATTAAATTTTCATTACTAATGTTTTGTATAAACCAAAGAGACAAATATGATATTCATTTGTTCTTTGCTACTTCAGTAATTCGTATGTTTTTACACGTACATTATAATGAACTAGTTTTGTGCCCCGTACGATGTCCAGATTGTTTATTGAATTTTAAGATAAAATTTTAATCAATATGTCAAATTTTAAAGTATATCATTGATACAAAGTTAGTTGGGAATTGATGTGGTTTTGTGATGATTTGCTATCTAATAGGCATATAATGACTAACAATAATGTTGGTGAAATTGTTCAATTAAATACATTAAAAAAAATAGCAAAAAATCAATTAAATAAAAAAATTGTTAAAGCCTGTTGGGTTGACCCGAACCCAAAACTTTGGGCAAGGGTTGAACATTTCTTGACCTGTAACCTGAAGTAACCCGATCTGAAATGACCCATGACCCATGACTCGACCCTGATTGACAGGTCTACATAGAAATAAAATTATATTAGATTGTGAAGTATATTTTTTAATCGATTAGAATATATTATAAATGGATGTTTTACGTTTTGAACTACTTCCTTCGCTCCAAAAAAATATTATGATATTGAGGATTATAATCTAATATTTTTTTGAGTAAAATTATAATTTAATTTGTACATCTGAAATATTGGTATTTTATCGAAAATAAAACTCTAAACTAACAATTTTATCCTAAAACTAGGTTAAAATCTCGGGCATTGCACGTTTGTTAAATATTTTTGACAATAATATTACAAAATATAAAGTATATAAAAGATATTCAGAAATACTTTATCAGGGTATTTATCTGGAATATGACTGTTAAACTGGAAAGAAAATATCTTAAGGTATAAATAGTTTACTTAAAGATTTTGCCAAAAAAAAAATATTCACAAGGTAATGACAAGTATCAATGAAGGATTTGCTTTTAGTATAGGTTAATTGATTCTATTTAAATTTGATTGAAAATAGAATGTTAAACTAACGTTTTTTATCCTGTGTAGTCTGTCTAAATCTAAACAATGTGGTGCAACACTTGGCGAAAAATTGAAATGCCTAGTGTCGCTATCTCGTGGTCTGGCTAAAATTTTAGCTTTATATATTAGTTACTAGATTTAAGCCCGTGCAATGCACGATTTCTATTAATAGTTAAATTTAACATTTAACATTCAATCATAATAACAAAATATTAATACATAATATTACTATTTTTTTTAATCTTATACAATTAAGGTTTACGCATATATAAACACGTTATATTTTGTAAATTGTTTGTTAACAACAATACAAACCAATTCTTGAAGAAAAAGAAAAATAGAAAGAAAATAAAATATGTGAAACTATATGTATTTGTTTAACCAACTTTTTTCACAATTGTGAAAACGGTGAAAATATAATCTTCCAGGCTTCCATCATCCTTTGTAAATCAATCATTGACCGTGCCAGTTGATAAGTTGCATAATTAAACCCGCCCCC